AGAGTTGTCTTCTTGTGGAGAAGATGACTAATTTGAAATTGTATATTCAGAGATAAGGGGTTTGTAGTTGTGTAATTTGAGATATGATTGATTCAGTGCTACTGGGGTTTTTTCAGTTACAAAATGCAACCGGGCAGAGATCGCATTGTCCATGCTTCGAGAGAATAAAAATGGCTTCGATATAGTTATCAGCGATGTTCACATGCCCGATATGGATGGATTCAAGCTCCTGGAGCGTGTTGGGTTGGAGATGGACTTGCCTGTTATAAGTAAGCACACTACTATTTCAGTTTTTGTATGGATTCCCCTGCCATGGTTAAAATCGTTTTCACTTTATTAGATTAGTGAATGGAGTCTGATTTTTGTTCATTGAACAGTGATGTCTGCGGATGAATCCAAAAGTGTTGTGATGAAGGGAGTCACTCACGGAGCTTGTGATTATCTTATCAAGCCAGTTCGGATTGAAGCACTGAAGAATATATGGCAGCATGTGGTACGAAAGAGGAAGAACGAGTGGAAGGAATTGGAACAATCAGGAAGTGTGGAAGAAGGAGATCGACAGCAAAAACAAACTGAAGAGGCAGATTATTCTTCTTCAGTAAATGAAGGGAACTGGAGAAGCTCAAAAAAGAGGAAGGATGAGGAAGATGAGACAGAAGACAGGGATGACACGTCCACATTAAAGAAGCCACGTGTTGTTTGGTCTGTGGAACTCCATCAACAGTTTGTTGCAGCCGTCAATCAGCTTGGCATTGACAGTATGAATCTTCTGCCTGAATCTCCAAACTTTCTGATTCTTGTTGGCTGTATGTTCATATGTGACCTCAACAATGCACATCATGGTTAGCGTTGATAGAGGGTAACATGTTATGGTTCCTACTTATGGATCGCTGTTGTGCGATAATTCACAAAGAAATCAGTAGGTAGAATGACATTTTTCTTTGATTTTCTACGTATCTTTATAAATTAAAGAAATAATTAGAGCTCATTGGATAGAGAAATCTCTACTATCCCTAGAGTAGAAGAGTAATCTTTATTCAAGAATAATTTCAGACAAGATGCTGTTTTGCCCCTAACATAACATTTGCTATGGATTTCTGTTACAAACAAAAACTAAGGAACTAACTTACCAGATTGGGATGCAAATTTTGGCCGTAACAGCTTGTTTTTTCTTGTTGATTCTTTCGGTTTCCCTGCCTGAAACAACAGGCAAAGGGTTCCGTTATGTCAAATTCATCAGAGTTCACACTGGCATTATACGATGACCTATGGCTTGAGAAATTTGTGGTTCTGATGAAATTTTATCAT